AAACGTACTCCAAGACGCACATATATACATACATACACCCACACAGCGACGTGCATATCTCCGAGAGACAGAGCGACCATTTGAGGGCCGCCCCCGCGCGCATTGGCCGAATGGGTGGGTGAGTGCGAGACCGCATTCACTCTCTCGTGAGAGAGCTTCCGCGACTCACGCCGAATGCGATGTCCGTACGGCATATCCGTACATACGGCGCATAGCCGTAAATGGATTTCTTCTATACGCCTTGTGCCATTTCCAGCCTTTGCTGAAATGGAGGCCAGGCAGTTGGCAGCGTCACCACAGCAGCAGCAACCACAGCAACCACATCATGGCGTGGCGGGCGTCATTACGCGCCCGTGCGAGCGTTACCATAGCACGAATCAGCGACACTACCAACAACGCAACCACCACCACCACCAACAACAACAACAGCAACAACCATTGCAATTATGGTGCCGTGTTTGCATGTATGTATGTGTGTGTGTGTGTTTTGGTGGTGAGTCGACACCACCTTTTGGCAAATGTTCGCTTGTATTGTTCACATCAACATTGAGTCTCGTAGTATCAATATTGATTACGGCTAGACGCGCCTGCATTTACGTTTTTGTTTGTCGAGTACGGGGTCTGCTTGGACTGTTTTGTGCTGGTGGGGGGAGAGTGGGGAGCGAGGTGCGGGCGGCGGCCGCCGAGCTGCTACCCTCAAATCGTGGCGCGAGTCGCAAATACCCAAGTGGGATATTATACCCCCTGCCGCAATGTGTCAGTCTGTCTGTCAGTCGATGTAGCACTCGGTATGCCTGTGAGGTGAGGCCGGTGCGTGTACGTATGTACGTACGTATGTATGCATGTATGTATGTATGTATGTTTGTAGGTATCCTTTGTTGCGATATCTGCTCCCTTCGTGAGGGGAAAAATGTGATGAAGCAGCTTTATGATGATGATTGGGGTGCTGGATGTAGGTAGGGAGCGGCGGGAAAGGGGGAGATAAAGAGAAAGAGAGATATACATACAGGAAGACGACTCGCTTCCTGAGTAGTTCTACTCCGCCTATGGCGGCGAGGGCCGCATCACACTTCTATCACAACCGTGACACACCACAACGCCAGCAACGCCAGCACAATCACTAACTGCCTGGCCACACACGCGCTCACACACGCACACACACATACATACATACACACAATAGATTCTTAAGCTCGCGGTGCACCACCTCCGTTTTGCGTGCATGAAAGGACGCTGGCGGTGGTCTTCTTTTGTGTCATCGCAATGAGGAGGGGGAGCTTTGTGACTGTGGTGATGTGGCTTTTCTGTCTGATCCTCTCCCTGGATGGGTGTTACGATGGCCGACTGCTGACTGCGGACCCCTGACCGCCAAGGGGGGGTGGTACCAGTCAAGGTCCTCCTCCTCCACTTCCTCCTCCGCCTCCTCCGCCTCCTCCTGAGCCTTGTGGTCCATCGGATTTCAAAAAACATAAATTCCACGGATCATTATTTCTTTCCGAGCGAGATCAAGAAGCACAGATAGCGACTGCGGCGCATCCGCCGCCGTACACATTCGTACATGTCCGTGGGCGGTCACAAAATGACGACGCTGCGCTGCGCTGCGACCCATGGGTCGGTCGTCTGATCCGGAACGTTTGATCGGGTTTTGCGTGTTGCTCTCCGTGTGCGAGCAAACCAGGCGGCCAGGGAGGGGCCTTTTGTCACAGGGCCTACCCTTTCAACCTCCCCCCCCCCCACACACACACACACCGCCGCACCCCCCCCTGCGCGTGCTGGGTGGGTGGGTTTTCTCTCTTTTCCTTCTTCTCTCTTTTTCTTTCGGTCGGTCTCGAAACTGGAAACCAGGAACGCGGGGGACCGCGAGTCTGTGTTCCCCGTGCGCCGTGTTGGTCGCACGCCAAAAGCTTGCGTCCCTGGGGTTGGCACAAACAACGACGACAATGGATGACTGGTGGATTGCGATAAAGGCGATGTGTTGGTATTATTGCAGTGTGTATAAACAGACACCAGAACGATGCCTTCGCGGACACCTCCGCCTACTGCCTGTCTGCCTGTCCGTCTGCCTGTCTGTCTGTCTGCCTGTCTGCCTGCACCTGAAAATGTGGTGAATGGTGCGATGTGATGTGATGTGGCGCATGGCGCGCACGGCCCTGTCACAATTTTGCCATTTGTTGTCTGCGCAATACAAAAAAAGCGCCATCGGGGCATTTTTTGTTATATTGCTCGCATGGGGCTCGTGTAACAACCAGTTATCATCGCCGCAGTACCTCTGAACCGTCCTGTGTACGTATGTAGACGTATGTTTGTGTGTATACGTATACGTCTGTGTGTGCGCATATTGGGTTATGGACAGGCTCTTCAGATGCAATACTCTTTTCTTATTGACACGATGGCTTTTAAACGCCTGAAAATAGTGTAGTTGTACGGTGTTGTACGGAAACCGCCAGTGCGGCCCACGGGGCGAACGGGGATGGGGAAGAGGTGTTCACGCCGCGCCCACAGGAAGGGGAGGGGGGGGAGGTCGCAGCTGGGGCCCTGGAGGCTGTCTGTCGACTGGGCACCGTATACCGGGAGGTTGCCGGGGGGTCTGGTACCACTAGCTGGGTGGCGGGGGGGGCCCCCCTTGCCTTTCTTTGTTATGTGGGAATTTCAGAGCTCTACCACCTGGGGCGTGTGGCCTTGTCGCCTGCAATCATGCATCAGGCAAAATGTAGCAGAGCTTGTTCGGTTGGTGTTGCGGTTAATCAAGATGTTCCCGAGGGGAGTCGACCTCGGGCGGTCGAATATGATGTTTTGGTGTTGCGTCTCAGCGGAAGCAGTGGCGGTTGTCAGTCCGCGTTCAATATAGAAGGCATCTTGTGGACTATATCCGGATATATATATATATATGTTTTTCGAACCCACCCGATTACCGACACCCTTTCTTTGCCCGGCTTCTGTGCCTGCGGCTCCGTTATGTGTGTATGTATGTATGTGCGTGTCGTTTGAGGATTTGCGTGGGGTGTTTGGGGGTGGGGGGTAAAAAGGGACACAAGCCGCAGAAGGCTTGTCCTCGTATTGATGGGAGTTTAACGTCATTCATCACCCAACAACTGAGCGGCGCTCCGGAACCACAACACCCCACAGTTATTGTGCTGCTATTATTATCTTTTTGTTCCTTATTTCTACAATATCCATATATATATGTATATATATATATTATGTTTTACACGGTTTTGATGACCTATCTCGCTATCATCAGTAAACCGCCGTCAGTTGAGAAATCGACTCAATCGACTGATTCGGCTAATTGAAAAATGTTAAGGGCTCCGTCCGATTGAACTTTGGTAAACATGTTACGAGCCTGAGCGACTTTACATGAGCGACTTTTGAGCGGCTGCCCGTGTGTGTGTGTGTGGATGTCTGGATGTAAACGGTATGGCTTTTGTTGTTCATGGCTTTAATGCACGCGGCAGAGGGTGGAGAGTTGGAGAGTCAAAAGGGGAGACGAGGGAATGTGTGTGTGTATGTGTATGTATGTGTGTGATCCTGGAACGTTCCTGTGAGCTCGGCGGTACGGGAGGCGCAGGCCGCGGTGACTCGGTGGCATGTTGATAGCGATGCGGCTGATGGCGGTATGATCTCAACCCCCGGTCCCTCTAGTGGGAGGTGGCACCGGACGGGGGGCCCACCTGACGAGGCTGCACAAAAGCACCTGTAGAGCCTCTGGGGGAAGTTTGACCACTTAAGTTTGACCACTTAAGAAACACACATGCCATGGGTCCGTGAGAAAGCCTTGTATCGCTTTGGTGTGCGTGGCAATAATAGTCTGGCCAATTATGGATAAAAGGGGGAATGGCGAGCGGCAAAAGGAGCTTGTGCGGCCACCTTTTAGGCAGCATGGGAAGGACGTATACCTGAGGTATGCATGTGGGTACTACTGCGACGTATAAAGATATATTGGTGTGAAGGTGGTTTTGATGATTTTGATAATTTTGATGATGATGGCGCTGGCTATGGAGATATGGAAACTGAGTTGAGCGACTGTTGCCGTCTTTTGTGTTTATGAATAGTTTATGCTGCGTTTGTGATGGAAAGCGGCACTTCGCCCCAAGCTCACAGTACTTCGCAAAGGTGCAATCGGAAGGTTGCCTGGACAGCGAACTCCTTGTTTTTCTAGGTGCCCGACAATCAGGCCTGGAAATGTTTGCTCCAGAAGGTCGATACTGCACCGCGTGAAATGCAGTTTGCGGCTACGTTTGGACAGGTTTGGACTAGAGCAGCGGTTTGACCTGGAATCTTTTTACAATGCACAGGCATTTGGATGAATTATGTGATAGCGGGTTTGAATGGATTATCAGCGCATGACCAGATGAAAACGACATTATGTCGACTTACGTCGTGGCAGACGTTACCGTGGTTTTGGGGCTTATAAAGCCCCAACATGTATCAACAATGCCGCTTGGACAGACTTGGCGTGAATGGAAGGCAAGGTTTTTACGACTCGGGGATTAGCATGGCTGCTGCGAGTTGTGTTAGGGGTAGGGAGTGGTATAGGGACTGAGTCCTCAGGTGCAACGGGTGGCGTTTCTTTTGCTTCCTTTTCTTGAAGGAATAAAGCAGGGCTTGTAAAATCCATTACTGGAAACGGAAAGTTAAATTGCGTAATGAGCGTAATGGATGCGCTACATTATCGATGCTAAACGGGCAAATTGCCGAAGGTTGATGCCTTCGTACCTTTTCACTTCATAGCAGCTCATATACGTTGTGCTAGCTTAATTGTCAAAGTCACACCCTTTGGACTCTTGTAACTGACTAAACGGCGTCTTGCCTTGCCCTTCAGTTGAAATCGCCAGCTTTGCTACGCTTTCTAGCGTCTCAAATATCTCAACTAAACTTCATCTGGCCCTGCTTGATATTCTTCCGGAAGCTAGGGCTCAACCTTAGTCGCCGCCCGTGTTTGGACAGCAGCTTCCTTTTTTGCACAGCTGCTTATTTTTTTTGCGGTCTAGCTGTGAGGAATGGAACAGGTGAGCAAGCGCAAGCGTGGTGGCTGTTTACCTGTTATTGATTCCCGTTAGCGACATTCCTACCGGCGCTCCACGTTACGCTATAACAGGATCAACAGCAGAACGCCTCCCTACAAGCTTCACCTAGCGGCTTGAGTCACTGTGCTGAGCCTCTCTGTTGGAGCGCGTCAAGTACAAGCGACGCAAGCGCCAGCTCCTCCGGCCCTACGCCCGACGGTATCACGGCTGACCAAATCAACCACGTCCGCAACCATTTAGAGTCCGGGTACCATGCCGATGACACAACTGTGAAACGTTTCATACGCGCCACCGGTGGCAATCTTGCGCTGGTAAGGGCTGCTCCCCCTTCCTTACTCGCCTCGCTCTTCTCTCTGCTCGCCCTGCCATCGCCGAGGCGATAGCGCGCTCCCCCCCTTCGATGAATCACCCCCTAACAGCCATCCGACATCACACCCAAACCGCCGTTATGTTAACAAGGCGGGAGATGCCGTCCTTATGCTGCCCTGTCCTAATGAGAGGCCCCGTTTTGCTCTCGTGGATACCGTGCTCCTGTATTGCCGCCGCCGCCGCCGAACGGCTTCTACCCCGGGCCCCCCCCCGCTGTGTCAATCATTGGTTGCCGGCAGTGCAGTGCAGTGCAGTGCACTATCTCCGTTGTGCTGTGTTGCTTTGTGTTGCGGTGTTCCGTTTTGTTGCGCCCTTGCCATTGATGTTGGTGTTGCAATTATTTGCCAATGATGTTGGTGTTGCAATTATTTGCCACTGCATTTGGTGTTGCAATTATTTGCCATTGATGTTGGTGTTGCAATTATTTGCCATTGATGTTGGTGTTGCAATTATTTGCCACTGCATTTGGTGTTGCAATTATTTGCCACTGCATTTGGTGTTGCAATTATTTGCCATTGATGTTGGTGTTGCAATTATTTGCCATTGATGTTGGTGTTGCAATTATTTCTGTCTTTCTCTCCGCAGTCTGCTAAGCGCCTCAATGCCACTCTGGCCTGGAGAGCCAAGGTCCGACCGGAGGAGGTCGTGTGCCGAGCATGCGCCCGGGAGCCCAAGTAAGTAAGCAAGGCCGCGGCCTCACAGGGCGGCCGCCCGGGCTCCATTCGCCCTCCCCCTTCCCTCCTCCCTCCTCCCGCCTCCTCCTTGCCTCACCATCATTTTATCACTTTACGACACCGCCACACCGTCGCTGTCCTCTCACTCTCTCTGTTTTTTTCACTCGTCCTCTCATGATTTTGATGTGGGTCAGATCACCTTTCCTCATTCTTCCCTTGTCGCAAGTGCCTGCGGCATGTGATGTCGTTTCATCATCATACTTTCACGCATATGCACATAAACACACACACAAACACGTGCACATCTACCCGTAAGTAGACTTCAAGCTCCGTGTACTAACAGCTTCACGGGAATATTCCCATTCCTCGAAAACGCCGCTGGCGACTGTGCAGCAGCCGTATGGCTCGCTACGGTATATATGATGCTGCTCAGCGGTGTATCGCCATCGCGCCTATCCGCATTTTCCGCATCGCGGCTCCGAAGATCATTAAAAGCCACACACGCACGCCACCCTTCTTCCCCCACCCAACCCACACACGTACAGACACATATTTACCATCTCCTTATCGTTTTCCCGCCTCCACACGCACGCCCTCAACCCGTTCCCATCCCCATCCCCATCCCCATACCTTCCTTCTCACTCTTCCTCCTTGGGCACGTCGTCAGGTCTCACTACATGCACCTGGCGGGGTTTTGCCGGCAGGGCCGTCCCATCATCTACAGCTGCCTGGAGCTGGCCACCAACAAGGTCTTTGAGGACAACCGGGATCACATGATTCAGACGTTTGAGATGGTAAGAAGCACTACTGCGGGCGTTGGCGGTCGTGGTAGATGTGGTAGTGGTAGTGGTAGTGGTAGTAATGGTCTAGTTTTTGGCATTGAAAGATTGAGTAGATTGTTTGACACACATTTGTTTTGACGTGTGTAAATTATACACACACATACAAACACCATTTACGCTTCCCGCTGGTTTCCCACTGACAATTATTACTAAAAAAACATGTGTGGCAAGTGATTTGTGAATTCCTTTGTCTAGGGTAAAAAGATGGGCTGTGGGTTGTTGTTCTCTGCTTCTCCACTTATTTTCCACTTACTCTCCACTTGATCCTTACAAATCACGACACGCAGCCTCTTTCTCTTCACTGCTACCCGGTTACTGTCTTCCTTTTCGTTCTGTATCTCCCCCTTATCTTGCTGCTACCGTTCCGCTCCGTTTCTCTCCACTTGCCATACGGCTCCATCGCTCCATCATCTGGGTTCCTCTACCTCGCGGCCCCCAGGCCGTCAAGTGCATGCCCCCGGGGGTGGAGCAGTGGATTTGGGTTTGTGACTTCAAGGGCTTCGGTGTGGCGGATGCGAATCCAAAGCTCGCCAAGGTTAGCATGAACAATGGCTTGTTGTGTGTTGCGTCGTACGGTACGATGGTGATTATTGGAGAAGGCTATGTGTATGTATGTATGTATGCATGTATGTATGCATGTATGTACGTGGATTCCCGTTGGACTGCACGCTTCGTCGTTGGACTGCATGCCCTTGATTGGTCCTTTGCTTTTCCTTTGCTTGACTGCCTCTTGATGTCTCCTGGTCCTCTCCTCGTTTTCACTTGTTTTATGGCATTCTCTGCCAAGGACAACGATATCCTTGGGGGCACCATCATCACCAACATTATCAGCATCATCATAAACATCATCACTAATCTCATTCAGCATCGTCAACACCATCATCATCAATGCCATCAGCTCATCAGCATCACCAGCATGACAAACATCTCCATCACCAACATAATCATAATAAACGCCACCACTTTCTTCACCATAGCCATAAATATTAATAATACTGCGACCGCCAGTATCAACTCGACTACCCCCAACCCGCCAACCCGCCCCCGGGCGCCCTGAGCAGCTCTTTCTGGAAATGAGCGGAGAGCACTATCCCGAGCGGCTGGGGCTGTTCCTCGTGGTTGACGCCCCGTCGTTGTTCGGGATGCTGTGGAAGGCCATTTCGCACTTCGTGGACCCCAAGACCTACAAGAAGATTAGGTAGGGAAGCTTGAATATATTATATTATATTGTATTATATTATATTATATTATGTTGTATTGCATTATATAATTTTTATAATATTTTATATTTTAGTAGTAGTATATTATCAGAGAGAGGACGGGATGGAATCTTTAACTATACCGCGCTTGAAGTGATGGCCTGTTGAGAGTTTCTCGGCTCTTTTTCTGCCACCCTGCCCAACAAAACAAAGGCGTGTGTGTATGATTTGCCCGGCCTTTACCTCTTCTGCTGGTTTCCCTCCTCCCATAACCCCGACCCAACCCGACCCAACCCTATCTCCTTACCACGTATGTCCGTGTGCTGCAGGTTCTTGCCCTTCGACGCGGCCAGGAACGACGTTCTTTCCAAGAGCCGGTTGAAGGCGGAGATGGACCTCCACTTTGACCCGGTGACCACCGCCTGGTTCCTCCGGGAGATGAATGAGAACCGGGACAAGGCCAAGGTGCGAGAACGGGGGGGGGGAGCGACACGATTCGAACTGTCAAGACTACCCCTAGCCACCCCCAGCCTAGCCACCCCCAGCCCTTCTAGACGTACTTGTTGATTGTTACACTTGGTGGCGTCTGGGCCATTTGCTTGTGCATGTGAATACTGGTATGGGATTGGTTAAAGCAATAGAGCACCACCTCCTTGGAGTGGAGTTCTTACTGTTGATCTCTGTCCGATACTCTCAGCCTCGAACAGATCAGCAGTCGCTGAACATGATGGGGGCGCTGAAGACGTTTCCGATTTGCCCACACACACTCACACTTGCCCCTTGTAAACGAACCCGCCATCACTCTCGCTGCTTCCTCCCCCTCGGGCCCTCTCCCCTCTTTGCGTGCGTGCCATGCCCCCACCCCCTTCCCCTCCCCCGTTCCCCTGCCGCCCTTCCTCCAGTCCGCTAAGAAGTTCTACAACATTTACAGCATCTACGAGCAGGCTCTCGAAGGGCAGCTGTGCGACGGCCACGAACATAAGTACTGCTGCCACGGCCACCTTGCCACCATCACCACCTCGACCAGGAAGCAGCCATCCCAGCCATCCCAGGTGCCCCCGTTGGCTTCCGCAGCCTCTTCGGTTGATCCGGGAGTGGCGGATGAGGGGGGCCAAGGGGCCGTTGACGGCCAGTCGGTGTCGGTGCACGCTTCTTCCGGAACCTCTGCGGCTGCGACCGCAGCGGCTGGGCGGCTGGGAAGTGGGGCGACGGCTGGGGGGGGTGGCACGTCGGAAGCGGCTGCTCTTCACATTGTGGGGGGAACACCGGCATTGCTTCACACCTTCAACATGAACCCCGAGCTGCTGCTGCCGCAGGCCACCGCCACGGTGTAGGGTACCCCCCCCTAGGTCTTGTCTTGGGGGATAAGGGGGATTGGTGGGGTAGGGGGTGTTTGGCATCTTGACTGCGACACGCAACCTTTCCCCCCCCCACACACACACGCAACCGCCCCCCCCACACACACATACACACACAACCGCACACACACATGCACACAAATACGCGCAACCGCACGCACAAACGTAGCCGCATGCAGCAGTTCCTGCCTGCGACGTAGATCGTAAAATCAGATCCATACATACATACGTACACACATGCATACACGTGCGCGGTTCATATTAATATAATAAAAAAGAACATGTGCACGTGAGGCCCCCTGGATTGGGCGTGCTTAAATTATGGGAACTGAACAGCGATTGCTACCTTGACCGCCCTCGACTGGACGTGTGTGTTTTTTTTATCCCGAGCGCGTTGCGATTCCTCGCCTGGCCAGCTCGGATGCGATATGCTCTCAGACGGGTGAGTGTGCGAGGGGGGTGGGGGGCCAGCAGAGGACGAAGTGAGAGGCTAGTTCTTACAGTCGGGACCGTCCTGATTCACCCGGGCATCGCTGGGCACTGAGAGAGAGTGCTAGGAGGAAACACCACAACCTGCTTGGACGGCATTAGCGAGAGCGGGTGTGTGTATATGTATGTATGTGTGTGTGTGCTGTTGGTTTGCTTGGGAGAGAGAAGCACGATGGTGCTGGCGTTACTGGCGGCTCTGCTGGTGGTGATGAGGGAGGGGCGCTGCGAGCATTCCATTATGGGCGGCTAGGTGGGCGGAGGGCGGGGCGACAGCTGCGCTCGTCCAGCTATGCGGCGTTATGTAGGTTTGGAGCTTGTGTGGGTTAAGAGCTTGGAATGCTGGTGGCGATGGTGATGGTGATGGCGATGGTGGTGATAATGATGGTGGTGATGATGATGGTGCTGCTGCTGCTGCTGGTGGTGATGATGATGGTGATGATGATGATGGCGGTAATGATGATGGTGGTGACGTCGGTTTGGGCAAAGCACAAGCCGTGCTGGTATGAATTCCGGGAATTTCATACTCCAACCTGGCTGCTGCTTGCGCACGTGTGTATGTATGTCTGTATTCTAGTCTGCAGCCGCATCTTGTCGTGTGCCCGTTGAACGTCGTCGTGATCAACGCTACTCTAGTATGTTCCATTTCGATCATTGGGGGTTGGGGATTGTAACAATTCTTATTTTTTACATGTCAAGGATATTGAGGAGTCCGCTCTTGCATGGGATGAATGGATGCGCGCGCGTGTGTGTGTATGTGTGTATGTGTGTACCATAACTGCCATTAATTAGCTGCTGCTGGCTTTTCCACTGCGGCTGTTGCAACCGCCGCTATCGCCGCGTGCGGTGTTTAGAGAGCGTCCCAGATGGCAGATGGGTGCCTCTGTGTGCTCCGTAGGTTATTGCATATACAAACTGTGTATGCACGGTTTGGTTTGTGATCACCTCGCAGGGCTGCTGTTTCCCACACACGCACACGCACACAACATATAAATGTTCAGATGTAAAGCTTCCCCCGGGGATTGAGGGGGTATCAGTCCCGCTTGCAAGGATCTGCCTCTGTTTTCCTACCAGTTCTACCAACCAATGAACCATCAACCACCCAGCATTAAGTAAAACTGCTGCCGGCTCGTCAACTAATGGATTGGATGCACGAGGCAGAGTGTGTGTTTTGCTGAAACACGATATGGACATTGCATGTTGCGACAGGGCCCTGAGTACACCAGAGCATATTTCACCATTTCCACATTTCAACAAGTCAAGGCGAGGAACCAAGTCCAAATTGACATGAGACCAGACTTAGTTATCCAACCCGGCTCGGAGCCGCGGGGCCGCGTGTTCTGTCAACCAGCCCCGGCAGCACCTGCGCAATGCCCAGCTCTCCCAGCTTCTAGTATTCCCAACATAAATACATCAAAAAATCTTCAACCTTTCTTTTCACCTCCAGGAGTAGTAATCACAACAACGGCAAAGATAACGGCAACGACAACGCTGGAAAAAAATCAAGAGTACGGCAGTGAAGTAGAGCAGCACGTACGTCAGCAAAACCAATTTTACCTCCTGCTCACCACTCAACTCATATGCAAGATCAACATCAACACACCTCCCCTCTTTCATTGCTTCCCCAACCCTACAACTGTTGTTCCCTCCTTCCCTCCTTCCCTCCTTCCCTCCTTCCCCCATCCATCTCTTCATCCATCTCTTCCTGTGTGTTTTTCACACGGCATTGGCCCGAACCCCCTCGCCGGCCCTTGTCGCTGTCCCAGGACGCTGTGGCTGCTGGCCGCCCCCCGCCGCCGCCGCCGCCGCCGCGCCTTCCCCTGCGGGGTAATGCAACAGGTAGTCCACTCGCCGCGCCTCGTCCTTTTCTCTCGGTTTCCAGCGACCTCCTCCGCCCTCCTCCGCTCCGCCCTGGCCCTGCTGCTCGCCCTCATAGTAGCAGCAGCCACAGCAGCAGCGCCAACAGCTTTGAAACGCGCTAACCGACTGCGAAACACCATAGTCACCACCACCACCACCACGGCCGTTACCACCACCACGGGTTTCGGGGCGAGGAAGTGCATATATGGTTAAATGGGGCACAAAACAGGCTGGAAGGCCACGACGGCTGAATTG